AAGCGTAATAAGAATAATACATAGTAAGAAATACTAGCGTCATTTGCCATGTCCAATAGATTACATAAATAAATCATAAGGCATTGAGTTATGTCTCTACCAGTTTAATTTCATCTCTGCTACCGTTCTTTGGGATGTTACTTCGCCTGTCACCTTACACAAGAAGACATAACTCCACCGCTAGTTCTTTTTCTCTCGCTACCCGCGGGCAACTCCTTCAAATGCCTACGTCGTACTTTCTGTGTCTTCCTGTCTTCGTGTATTGTTAATATACTCTACAAAAAAACATTTTATTGGTTGCCACAGTTCTCCTTCATTTGCACGGGACGGTACTCCTTTTGAGTTTTAGGGTAAAAGGGTTCTTAGGCGTGATCGTCCACCAGAATTGCGGGCCGTTGGTTATGATCGGACTATATTTATAATATGACTACATGCATTGTACACAATTAGTGTGTGAATCGGCATAATCTTCGTATTTATTATTTTTTGCTATCCGGGATGGACCAAAATTTTTGTGAAAACACAGTATGACACCTTACTCCAAGTGTGACTTGCTCAAGAAGTAAGTTTTAGCGCCCGTTATGTACATTCTTCTTCCTCTTCTTCTTCTTCATTTTATTCACATCTTCTTCTTATTTCGAGCCACACAAAGGGCACCAAAGGGCGTCGCTCTGTGATCTTATGATTAACACGTCGGAATAGTGCAATTAAGCTGGGTCCCCGCGGCGGTCCTTAAAAACCGGGGTACTTATATAAGTGTAAACCCGTAGTGGTGGTCCGTTTCCCCGGCGCCGGTTGGTTCGTAGTACGACATGGTGGGGGGGGCGGAGGGGAGGAGGTCTTGGTTGGCTGAGTAAATACGAAACTTTTATTGAGATGGACATGTCCGAACGTAGATAGACATCAGTTACGATTGACGGTTATAAATGACTGTGACTGCGCCACTTCTTATATTGTGACACGGCCGACTGTTTAAGATGACGTTGTAAGGACGACGTCATATTAAGTGATAAACTCATATTTGGTGATTGTAAGGAGCGTGTTATCTGGAGTTATTCACGTAGAAAATAACCACACGTGCAATGTACGGAAAAATTATTGGTAAAAACTTACCTTGTAAGTATTTAGATTTATTTATATTGAATTTATATGTACTTTTATGTTCACTTATAATTGTGGTTAATAAGTAGTAAAGAATTTTACGATATCGTTTTTATTCGTATTCGTCGCTAAAAAAATAAATTTATATGTATGGTTGATGTTCTTATTCCGTCCATATAATTGTCACACATTTGCCTGTGGTTTGCCTTCTACCCTTCACCACGTTTCGGGACACTACCAACGATTTAGTCTCGGACAAGAGGTCAGAAAAAGAGTAAGTACGTTTAGAAGACACAATACTAGGTTATAGAAATGGTATCGGAAATTGTCATAAGCTCGGGACGAGTCGGAATGAGTGGTTCTCGGGTCGCGGACTGGAAGAATGTCCGAATCCCAGTTGACTAGTCGCAACTACAGGTCGAAAGATCGGTTGACCGAAAGTTAAAACCGTCGTACCCGTCTGACGTTCGTAAATACCCCCCTATCCCGACGCCGTCGACCTCATCGAGACAACCAGGACCGTGGTCCCTCCCTGTTAACACGATTTACTTAGGACCGTAAATAATTTTACAGTCGATTTTCTCCCACTTAAATTTTTGGAGTCGTGAAAAGCGACTCTGATAATTGTTAAGAATTCCACCCCATCAGGAAAAACCCTTTGGTCGAGCCACGCGATCTAAACTTTTATGTGTTGCCTTTTTTAACGGTGAAGGAATGCTACGGGGAGGAGGTTGTGTGTGTTTGCACGTTACCTGGGTACTCCGCCTCGATTCAAACACGTGACTACCTTCCGACTGCCGTCCATCGGTAGTCAATAAAAACGGCCCGGCCGAGTTTACTGAACCAGCACAAAAATTAATTAATTAGTGAGTTTATTTAAGGTAATTATTAGAAGCCCTATTGTATCAGTATGTCTGCACAGCAGTTACAATGGTCAAACTACATTGAATTGTCCCCATTTTGTCTTTAGTAGTTTCTAACATTATATATGTTAATGAGATATCGACCACAAAACAAAAAATGTCCCTGGTTTTCATTTTAAAAATCAAGTCACCGAATGCAAGTAGTTGCCTTAGCTTATTTTGTTGATGATGTGAATTACTGTTCAAATCAGTTAATGTAATAATCGTTTTGGTCTTATATTTTTTTTCAGGGGGAGGCCCTTTTTCCAGTTTAGAGCAATAGCCCCTCCAAATGTCTGTGCACGTCCCTGCTGTAAATATACACAACTTTATAATAAAAAGCACACATTTACCTTTTTCTAGACTAAACACAGGTATGATCCTAAGTTAAAACATATGAGGCTATCATGAGGTTGTTAACATCGCAATTTATCAGTGGATGTTTGCTGGAACTAGTTGTAAACAGCTTGTTTCCTGACGGACACACACAGCGTTGAGACCGGTCAGGTAGAGACGGTCTCAAGTCAGCACCGATGCAGACTCGCTGTTTGAGGGCTTGATAGCCCACTCCCCCTCCACACCGCTCCACACTCGTTGGTTTGGAACAGCACTGTGGCGGACCCTCCGCGTGAACGCGCAGACGGAGGGGTAGGGTGTGGTTTGGGATTGGGCCTCTAACATTGGACATGAAGACAAACTGCGGAAACTCTTTCACACTTGCTCTTCTTTTTTTGGCTATGATGGGGTGACTATTGAGTCAATATCTCCGTCTAAGGGCCATTAGTTGTGACATGTCATGCAAACCACAGGACTGAATATTTAAAAGATCATTTTGCTGTAAATGATGCTTTGATTGGTTGACTCTCTGTAATTGCTGCTCTGAGATGCAGTAATGGAGTTCAGAGTGCTGTCACTGTTTCCAGCCTGCAAGTCAAAGAAAAGGAGTTACTTTGACATGCAATTATAGAAAACACTTATTTTCAGTCGTTCTTGACCATAGACTGAGAAAGGTCTTGACACAAAGGCTGTCAGAGTAATGAGGTGTAAATGTACAATTACTTGCATGTTGAGTCTTCTCCTGGCACTGCTTTTCTCTTGATCCTCACTTCTTCTTCCTTCATCTCTTGGTCTTTCCCAAATGGTTAGCTTTCACTGTTCATGTAGATGAAACACTGTAATGACTAAGGATAGAGTTATTATAGAAACACATGTGCAACCCCCCTATAGATACAGCTTATTACACATAATATGATTCCGTAACATATTCAGCAATGGACCCATGAGAGGATGTGGAGGCTATAAAGCTGCTCACACCACATAGCCACAGTACTGCTTCTCTTTGGATATGCATGTATGTGTGTTGGCTGTGTGTGCTGAACATAGGACAAAAGACTGATTCACTTACAACCCTCTGATTGTGTCAGCAGCTGTGATGTAATACCGAGTAGGAGATGGAGATAACTATTGAAAAAAGACAATACACATCTGAACAATAGGGAGAAATAAAGATACACAATCTAAATATTTGACTTATTGCAAAGGCTTCACCTCAGAGATGGTTAACAATAACAGTTAACTAGCTCCAGGTCTCTTCGGGTCACATGTTGCTCGATAGAGTTCTTCTAAAGTTTTGTAAGTGGTGACATGCTCAGGTTTGTTTCAATACTGATGTGTTTTGTGTCTACAGAATCGGGCTATTTTTAAACGCTCGCTGGAGGCTGACAGAGTAGTCAGACACGCTGCCCATCTATTATTGAGAATGCCATTTAGACAAGATAGAAAACACACTGCGTCACTGCATGTTGAGGGAGCAAATCATAGGGAAGTGCAAGTAGGGCCTTACCTAACTGTGGGAAAAAATACCAACAATGTATTACCTGTAGTACACAACAATATATGTGCTGTTGTAAAAGCTGCATCAGTAGGGTTACAAATTATAGTTGGTCCTGACTATAATGCTACGCCACCGGTGCTACAATCAAATGGAGTTACATGGAGTGTCTAAATTGTGGAGGTTTTATTCTCTGGAGTGCAT